CTACTGCCAGTGTAAGCAACATTAGCTCACCCTCAAAGTGTTTGTTTCCCATAAATTCATTTTAATTAAAATCTACTCTGGGTGGAAAGCCTACTGCCTGCCATCTGTTAGATTGGCCGACACTGGACAACCAACATCTCCTTTCGAGGTTCATTCCAAGAAAAAAGGTTTCAAATACGCTGAAGTTGTTTATAAAATAAAAATAAATAAAGTTTGAGCAAAATAATCATTAAGCATTTGCATGATCTTCTTAAGCTCTTCAGGTGGGACCAATGCTTATGACATCATCAAAAATGGTTATAGAGGCAAACATCAACAAATGATGACATCACAAAAAAACACACATATATACACAAAATGATGATGTCACACTGCAGTATCAGTACAATCAGATAGATATGACATTTTAACAGATTGATACAAAGAGGCTAACAGGGTCTGTATTTGTTATCTGTTTCTGAACAGTAGATACAGGGCTGAAATGCTTCCGATAACGTGAGATTATCAGGGCCATCTCAAGACTTTTTACCGATTTCAATCATTCACAATGTAGTAACACATGGTACAGGAAATAACATTTCTGATTGTTAATCAGTAATTCTGAGAAATGTTTCAGGTTGTGAAAGGACGTTATAGACCTGACTCAATCAGACAACATCCTCCTGTCTGATTTTTGAGAAGCTAAAAATGTCTCAGCCAATGAACGTATGGCTGATATCTTGGAAAATAAGTAATTCCAAAAGTAGCAACAAATTGAAGCAATTTTATTTTCTGAATATTTCACTGAATTTATCAAATAAGGAAAAGACAAGGTATAGTAAGTTATGAGTTCTGTATTTTCCTTATTTGGTCAACACAAACAATTTGGATCCTAGTTATACTAAAACTGACTTTGGTTTAAATACGAAGAATGTCAAAATTTCATTATAAATCAGATAAAGTTCATTTCTTACCATTCTTTTCTATTTAAGAACAACTAATGTGAGATTTTAACAAAGTTCTTTCAATTTTTATATAATTTTAAGAATCCAGTATTCTGACTTAGACATCGCAAACACTCACTTTCCTTGGTTAAAAAAAAAAAAAAAAGAAAAAGGAATTTTTCATCATATTAACAACCTTCCACTTTAAATGGAAACAGACACAGAAGATCATTCTGGACAAAGTCATGATCAGTGAATACAGGAACATTAATATGAAGAAAATTTTGCAGTATTAGTGTCATTGACCCAAACAATTCCAACATTATATAAATGTGGTAATCACAGGACGGTGTCAGGTTGTTTTACACAATCTAATTATATTCTGTCAATATCAGCAACTCAAAGACTTCATACAACGAACGCACATCGGCGGACGAAAGGTTTTAATTTTTATTATCATTTTATTAAAAAGGGGAGGATCGTAACACACCTTCGAAATATCTTCATTGACAATTGATCACGTATCTTAATATGATGAAATAACAAACATGAGACTGTAATAGGATTCAATATATTAATATTCAACCAACAGCAAGTCTTTATTGGCAGGTATTGCTTAACAGTCGTTGTATGGCTGTTAGTGCCTGGTACTTTGAAGACGTAACATCTAAAATTTAACCATCTGATTTTTTCATTATAAAATCCATAATACATTTCATTGTACTTGGACAGACAATCAACACTTTCAAAGGCTTTTATGAATTACTTCTCACAATGTACAATAGTCAGAATCTTGAGAGTTCAAATCTAAGTAAATATATCTGGTTTTATTATACAGTGGCTTGACAAACTTGCCTAGTTTAAGGATGTGACAATTTATTAAGTCTTGTCTAGTGTGTGAAGAAGTCTCGTCTAGCGTGTGACAAAGTCTTTGCTAGGATGTCAGCAATTCTTGTCTAGGGTGTGACAAATTCAACCGGGGAATGACGAAGTCTTGTCTAGGATGTGAAAAATTCTTGTCTAGGATGTGATGAAGTCTTGGCTAGGACGTGACAAAGTCTTGGCTAGGATGTGACAAAGTCTTGTCTCAGCTGTGATAAAGTTATCCAAGGAGTGAATAAGTCCTAACTAGGGTATGACAAAGTTTTGATCACTGAACTTGGTGACAAAGTCTTTACAATGGAATAACAAAGAATTTTATTACAGACAAATAAAAAATGGTCCAAGGGAACTAACTCTTACAAATGATTGACTTTATAATAAACTTATCAGCTTTTGATTTGCAATTTTAAAAAAACAAGTGAAAGTCTACTTGTTTTGTTTATTGAAATCAAAATGATAATTCGTTTAATGCTATATTTTTTTTTTGTATTTTATATTGTATCAGCTCTATATTGTAGAAGTGTACACATCAGCACTTATATCTATTTTCTGATGGTAAAACAAATTCCATTTCTCTGTTGATATCAGTAAATCTGTTGGTACAGAGGTTCAACAAGAGAAGGTAAACAAAATTCCTTGAAGAAGTATATAAGCTACTATTTTTATGAACAAGAGGCCCATAGTTGTTAAAGGTCATCTGACTATAAAGACCAATATATTAGATACGCTGGTAACAATTACCTTATGAGTAAACTCTTAGCAGTAAGGGAAAATAACACCAGTGCTCATCTTTTCAGTTTCTCAACAAACTCATTAATTTCAGTCCAACTTCATCAGTGAAACTGGAGATGAAGTTGTAATGTGTTTTTTTTTTCAATATGGCAGCCATGACTTTTTGATTTTGGATTGAAATAACATCACTCTGTCAGACCATCCCAGGATCACTTCAAATTTTAGCTTAATCTCACAAGTGGAACTTCAGAAGATATTTACAGCAGATGCTGTTCAGGGAAATCATGATTGCACAACCAACTTACAAAATATCTGCAATGGCTAAAACCATACTAAACTTTCAAAACAACTGAAAAATAACAATATTGAACATCAATTTCCAACTCAATAGCATCATTAGAACTTGAGAAGAAGTTTAAAATGTATTTTTCAAGATGGTGGTCATATTGGATTTTGGATTGACCCCAAAAATAGCAACACTTTGTCAGGAATATCTCAAGGTTCATTTCTGGCAAGTTTTATCTCAATCCCACAGGTGGAAATTGAGAAGTTTAAAAAAAAATGCTGTACATAGAAACTATGATTGCACAACTGGCCACCAATGCTGCCATAATGAATTTTTGACAAAGCGAAAAAACAGCAACACTTTTTCAGCTTTTCTTCCTTAATTCTCCCACAGATTTTCAACTCAATGGCACTAGTGAAACTTGAGAAGTTTAAAATATAAAATGTTTACAAATGGCAGGCAGCGCCTGATGACAGATGAAAAATGCTTTCTATAGGTATTGACATACAAGATTTATGTAACCTTAAAATTTTTCCCTCAAAATACATACCAGCTTTAGTCCTAGTGATGTGTCTCAAACCAAAATAATTTTGATTCACCGTTATAATTTTACAGCAATCACAACAATCAAACAAAAATGAGCACAACAAAGCAAGGACATGTTTAGACTGCTGTCAATACTGCTTGTTTGTTTTAATTTGCAAACAAAAAACTTCAAAAACAACACAAATGCAAAAACAGAGCTGAAGCTTATCTGCACTCAACAGCATCCATATTTCACTAACCAAAATATCAGAGCATGTCTCCTGCAATCACATAAATGTCCACTTTTGCTGTTAATAAAATAATATCACAATGATGTCAATTCTATCTGATATTATCTGTCACCCAACAATGATTAAGATTTTGTATATATTATCTGTCACCCAACAATGATAAAGATTCTGTACAATATCATCTGTCACCCCACAATGATAAATATTTTGCACAACGTTATCTGTCCTCCCAAAATGATAAAACTTCTGTACAATATCATCTGTCACTCCACAATGATAAATATTTTGCACAACGTTATCTGTCCTCCCAAAATGATAAAGCTTCTGTACAATATCATCTGTCACTCCACAATGATAAATATTTTACACAACGTTATCTGTCCTCCCAAAATGATAAAGCTTCTGTACAATATCATCTGTCACCCCACAATGATAAATATTTTACACAACGTTATCTGTCCTCCCAAAATGATAAAGCTTCTGTACAATATCATCTGTCACTCCACAATGATAAATATTTTGCACAACGTTATCTGTCCTCCCAAAATGATAAAGCTTCTGTACAATATCATCTGTCACCCCACAATGATAAATATTTTACACAACGTTATCTGTCCTCCCAAAATGATAAAGCTTCTGTACAATATCATCTGTCACTCCACAATGATAAATATTTTACACAACGTTATCTGTCCTCCCAAAATGATAAAGCTTCTGTACAATATCATCTGTCACTCCACAATGATAAATATTTTGCACAACGTTATCTGTCCTCCCAAAATGATAAAGCTTCTGTACAATATCATCTGTCACCCCACAATGATAAATATTTTGCACAACGTTATCTGTCCTCCCAAAATGATAAAGCTTCTGTACAATATCATCTGTCACTCCACAATGATAAATATTTTGCACAACGTTATCTGTCCTCCCAAAATGATAAAGCTTCTGTACAATATCAGCTGTCACCCCACAAGGATAAATATTTTGCACAACGTTATCTGTCCTCCCAAAATGATAAAGCTTCTGTACAATATCATCTGTCACCTAAAAAATGATAAATATTCAGTACAACATTAGCTGTCACCCCACAAGGATAAATATTTTGCACAACGTTATCTGTCCTCCCTAAATGATAAAGCTTCTGTACAATATCATCTGTCACCCCACAATGATAAATATTTTACACAACGTTATCTGTCCTTCCAAATTGATAAAGCTTCTGTACAATATCATCTGTCACCCCACAATGATAAATATTTTACACAACGTTATCTGTCCTCCCTAAATGATAAAGCTTCTGCACAATACTGTCCTATCAATCACCCCAAAATTATAAATAATCTATACAAATTTATCTGTATACTTTTTCTATATACCAACAAAGATTAATGTATTTACCTTGAAGCCGACATATTGTCACCAGAGGATGCTTGTACACCATCAGTCACCTCAGCCTCTAATCGCTCCTCCACAACTCCTTCAATTTTTTCTTCAGGCTCTACCTTGAGAGGGTCTGTTTTATTTGCCCTTGGCAGTCGATGACGGAGCTCATTTGCTACCTCCCCGTCTTCATCATACATATCCACTAGATAGGCATGAAGTCTTTCCTCTGCTGCTTCTCGTCGCTTCCTCTCCTCAACAATTTCTTTTTCCCTAAAAAAATTAATATAAATTCATGAAAATTTTCAGAAACTAAAAAAGTCAGTAAACGCTCTTATTAAAGATAATACATATCCCTGATCTAATAAAAGAAACAAAAACCAATTGGGTGTAGATGTTGATCTTACCATACTGTGTGGTTAAAGGCTTAACTCCATCAATGTCAAAGATAATGTTAATAATTTAGCAGAAGACACTTAACCTTCCCGAACACCTGGTCCAATTCTCCTTGTACTTTTTCAGGAGCATACTATGCCCTTATCATTATTCTGTTAACATGTTGGTATTTTCATTTTTTTTTTTCTTTTTTTTAAACTTTTAAAGAAATATGTTTCAGTTTGACCTGTCCTTCTATAAGCAGGATTATTATGTGCAGCAGAGCTGACTTTATAGACGGTAGATTGATGTTTTGAATCCTGTGGTATCATATGGTATACAGTCACTATACAACAATACACAACAGTCAGCTCCAGTGTATGCTACATCCACGATACTCCAAGGGTTACAAACACTTTCGCTCTCTACACCTCTGGAACATGTCATGGCAAAATTGAAGTCATTTGTTTGGTTCCAGGAGAAAAAAACAATGACCAATCACAGGCTTATATGCACCATTTTCAGATTACAAAGAAGTGAAACCCAACTTTAAAGCAAATACAATGTACTGTTTTGCGACCTTGAGATTCGTTTGATGTACATCAAAGTATCAAACTGGTTTTGCCACAAGGTGTCACACATGGAACTTTCAATCTCATTTTCTAGGCTATGTCACCTTAGGGTAATAAGCCTCATTTTCTAGGCCTATGTCACATTGGGGTAATTAGCCTCATTTTCTAGGCCTATGTCACATTGGGGTAATAAGCCTCATTTTCTAGGCCTATGTCACCTTAGGGTAATTAGCCTCATTTTCTAGGCCTATGTCACATTGGGGTAATAAGCCTCATTTTCTAGGCCTATGTCACATTGGGGTAATAAGCCTCATTTTCTAGGCCTATGTCACATTGGGGTAATTAGCCTCATTTTCTAGGCCTATGTCACATTGGGGTAATTAGCCTCATTTTCTAGGCCTATGTCACATTCGGGTAAAATGCTTCATTTTCCAGGCTTATGTCACGTTTCGGTAAAATGCTTCATTTTCCAGGCCTATGTCACATTGGGGTAATTAGCCTCATTTTCTAGGCTTATGTCACATTGGGGTAATTAGCCTCATTTTCTAGGCTTATGTCACATTCGGGTAAAATGCTTAATTTCCAGGCTTATGTCACATTCGTTAATTAGCCTCATTTTCTAGGCCTATGTCACATTGGGGTTATTGACATCATTTTTCTGACCTATTTCAATTTTTTTTCTAAATTTCACAAGATATATCTGACTGCTTTTTCCTTCTTGATCACCATCTTGACCCTGTATGGGAGAGTATATTACTTCATATGGATTTATAGTCAGACATATATCTGAAAGTGTGTGTCTATAATTAAAAGGTATATTCATTTCATATTTATATTCATAACAATGAAACATACCAATTGATGTATCTAAAATGGCGTTACAGAATATCAAACCCAGATAAAAGTGACTTAACAGGGCCTCTTGTGTTTATTGTTTAAAAAACTCTGACAAGACAGGCTTCAATCAGATATTTCTTAGAATCTAATGAAACAATCCACATTGTTTAAAGAGCCAGACCTACTCCTCGTCCAATATTATTTTATATTAAATAAAAATTCATGATTTTCTAATTTTCTCAGGCAGCAAAAGTTCTGACTAACCCTGTAATATCGCAATTTTAAAGTAAATCGCTACCAATTTTACGTAATGAATAGTTTTAAAAAAGAATTTGAAACGACTCGGTGCTAATTCATAATTATTTGGGAAGTCCTGCCCTCTGACGCATGAGCAAAGAACTATAAATAAATCGGTCGTCTTCCAATATGGCAGAAAGAGTGCGAGGGAAGCGGGGAAGAAAACATGTTTTGAAGGACTCTGAGGCAAAAAGAAGGAAGATGGCGGCTGGTTCATACTCTGCATCGCTCTCTGTTTGGCTCTCTTGTGTAGTATTACTCTAAAATCATATTCATAAACAATCATCAAATATTTATTTATCGGTAAAATCCATTTCACGATGTTCTATATGTTCTTTCCATTTTTGTTTTGGTAGCCCCCATATGAGGGCCTCTTCGCAATTAATCATGGTGTTTTTTCTCGTAATCTGCACGTTTTTGTGACATATCTAAGCATTGAAAGATTTGATCAATACATATTTATATATTGATTTCCATACAGGATATATATATTGATTGCATTTATCGGTAAAATCTCTTTACAATGCGATGTCACATGGACGTATCACTTACCTGATAATCCTCCATTTTTGTTTTGGTTCTGACCGCGTCTGAACATATCACGCGACTTTTCCTCATCAATATTCATATCCTGGTGTTGATTAATGAGACTAATTCGGGCACGGATATCTCCGGTACCTTTCAATTTCAAGTTTGAAACTTTACACAAGTCTTTAATTATATATTATCTATCAGTATACAACCACATTTCCTGTCAATAAAATATGAAAAAAAATATCTATAAAGGAGTGGGTCTGGCTCTTTAAATGTTTGAAACTTCAGAGGTGGCTGAATCTCTTATTGATAATCCACATCATTAAAAAGTTTGAAACTTCGCAGGTGGCTGAATCACTTATTGATAGAGAACTGAGCTCTTGATGGCACTATGTGATTAAAAATAGGACCCAACAAAAAATTAAATACCTGCACATGTGATCAGCCTTGAATAACCTGGTGGAACATTTTTGTAAAACAGACTTTTGAAAACCTTTGGTCAAACACTTGTTACAGAAAGTAGATCTACACAATCAGGAGGATAAATCATATTTGATTTCTTTTAATCTACTACTGAAACTATACTCTAAGACGACATTTAGTATAAACGGAAACTAATAAATACGAACGAACAATTAGGAAGACAAAACAATTTACAATATATGACTAAAAGTTTATCCTTCTACATCTACATTGTGTGACGGATTACTAATTGTAAACAAAGTGGACAACGCAAATTAAATACGATTAAAGAACAATGTATCGCTATCAGTTGATGTAAATTCGCGTGGGTAAAAGATATATTATATGCTTTATCATACAAAGTTATTCTGAAATACTTCGACTCATTTCAAAAAGGGTGTTTTGAGATGCGAAAGCAATGGGAATTGGACATATTCGGACATGTCACGGATATCGATGCTGGGCGTACAAATCTTCGTGTACCTGTCATCAACATCGTCTTGTAGTCGAGTGATTTTTGTGTGGACAGTTTCCAGCGCCCGACGTAATTCACTTTTCATAATTTTAGTTGTTTCACACGTGTTATCATCTGTTTTCTCCGGTGTTCTGTCGATTCGACGATGATACGCTACTATCGGAGGGGATGACAGCTCCGCATCCGCCATATTGACTCCGTGGTAAACTAATAATTGCATTATGGGAGATTACAAGGTGCGTTCGTTTCAGCAGACACAACCTAACGTGCGCATGCTGTAAAAATTGCTATTTATGGCAGGTCTTTGGGATATCATTAATATCCTTCATGCATTACTAATATCCATATATAATCCATAAGGATAATAAATGATCATCAATATCGATCATATGCTAAATTGGTATAAGGTGACTTATTGCTTTAAAATGAAAAAAAAATTGTCGTGATATCAGTTTTAATATCTATATTTATTGTAAACAGTATTTTATTTTCAGAATAACATTAACATATAATTATACATATTGAAACACATTGGGATTAGGAAACAAGCTTGAAGCTTATATTAATCCTTCTCCCAGGATATATCTATATTTCGATATCAATAAATCGTTGTTAGTATCAATAAGTTGATGCATCGATTTTAACAAATTAACAATGGGTATCAATTAATTACACAATTATAGATCATTCAATAGACAACGATCTTTCCAACTTTGGCTTAGTATGACCGAAAGATATACTGTTTTAGAATTTCTGTACCAGTCACCACCAAACGCTTCACATTTGTAGTATATATTGATTTAAACATATTTCATTTGTCGTATAACAAAAAAGGATTAGGCACAAGATCACAACTTAAAAACGTCTTCTCCAAAAGATTTCATTATACAAGTTACTCGACAACAATAACATTTTTTATAGATATACGAACAAAGAAAGATAGGGAGGACGGGAGGAAGGAGGGAAAGGAGAAGAATGGGATAGGAAAAAAATTTGCAATGACATGATATATGATATAAATATGCTACTAACCTTAAAATATTTACTTTTTTTAATGTATGTTTTAACTAAAAGAAAAAATTATTTTCATTATCTTCATCCGACAGGTTTGAGGAACCAGAAAGAATAACATCAACACACACACACACACCCTCACACACACACACACGCGCGCGCGCGCACACACACACACACACACCCTCACACACACACACACACGCACACGCACACGCACACACACACACACACACACACACACACACATGTAGTTGTAACCTGCTAAAAGGAAATGAGAACAATAGCATCTAGGGAGTCTCTAGGGAGTTCGACCATCCATCCCAAACACACGAGGCATATTCAAACAGGTCGTATAAATGATAAATATATAGTATTGAGAGTAGACTTACCTACTTTATACTTCAATTTTTCAAAGCATAAACTTTTTGAGGAGGGCGGTAAGAAAGTAATGCTGCCACACAGTGATGTTATACAACATCTATCCACTGCGACTTGTGACACAATTTTTTAATAAACGTTCAATATGGCACGTTATATATATATAAAGTATCCAAGTACGACCAGTGACGCAATACATCACAAAGCCAATACTGCTGGTGAAGGAGACAAGTTATTCTACCCCATCGGACAGAAATATCCACACTTCCGGTGAGGGTAAAACATCTCTATTTTGCCCCAGCAAGACAGACTGCGCGCACAGGAAGTAGCATTTTGGGTTCGTGTAATTGTTAATGACGTAATTTTTATGATGTGCTGGTGTTAGTTGGGGTCCTTGACGTCATTAACAATTGTCTTATGGACCTCAAATGAAAATGACTATACCGATAGTTATAATGTCACATATATATTTATTTGCTTATTTATTTTTAAGGGCATGAAATGAGTAGAAAAAAGTGTCATTTCCTACCCTCCTGCTAGGGAAACATCCTATTAATCCTGATATTACCAGTGACGTAATACAACATAACCCTAATACTGCCAGTGACGTAATACAAAACACCCCCAGTGCGACCAGTGACGTAATAAAAAATAACCCTAATACTGCCATTGACGTAATACAACATAACCCTAATACTGCCAGTGACGTAATACAACATAACCCCAGTACGGCCAGTGACGTAATACAACATAACCCCAGTACGACCAGTGACGTAATACAACATAACCCCAGTACGACCAGTGACGTAATACAACATAACCCTAGTACGACCAGTGACGTAATACAACATAACCCTAGTACGACCAGTGACGTAATACAACATAACCCCAGTAGGACCAGTGACGTAAAACAATACCATCCCAATACTTCTAGTAGACAACATATTTCAATGCGATCTGTGACGTGAACAATTTATAGTATACTTACATTATTAATGTTTATCTTACTTTACATCCATAGTGTCCCGTTTACACATGTTTTTGTTATTTTACACACGGTATTTGTTATTTTACACACGGTATTTGTTATTTTACACGCGGTATTTGTTATTTTACACACGGTAAACACCAACACCCGATATGTAGATATGTCGATGGTAAGTTTTATCGTTGAAGCACCATGTCTGAAATACACTGTTATGCCAGTCGTATAAAGTGTTGCTGTTCTCGATATGAATATAATACTATCAATATCATTTCAACATATACTCACCAGCACTATTACTAATAGTATGGCCAATGTTTTTTCTTGCACATTTATATTATTTTCCGATAGAATTCGAACACACGCGATACGTACATGGTCATGAATACCCTTTATTTCGCTACCTCGAATATCTGTTTACTGATTCAAAGACATGTTTAATTAAATCTCGAAATCCATTCCGTTATCCTAGTAGTTCTAACAATAGAACAAGTCTGAAAGCATTGTTGTAGTTATGATTGTTTTGTAAAAGCCGTTTTTACATAAAGCCCATTAGGCTTTATCCTATTCAGACGTATAATATTACACACACCAAGATTTTCTCAACGTTTAAGAACCTGGCAGTATAATCTTGTTGTTTAGAATCAAAGTACGAGACTGTGCTGAAAGGTTATGACAATAAGACTTGGTCTGTGATAGGCTTGTCTGCAGACTGGCGATAATAGAAACAGGACGGTACTTTTTTAAAGGGTAATGACAATGACGTTTTGAGTTAAAATTACACTGTATATATCAGACATGATTTGGACATTCTCATCACCACTTGTGTCTCTGGGGTAAATCTTTATTAGTCAGACAAAAAGTATTGACTGTCACGCCAAAGTGGGATAAAAATTATATTTATTTATTTATTTATTTAGAGCTAAAGATGGGACATAAAAATATGAAATTGTTCTTACCTGGTGAAACGACGACTACCTTTTAATATATACTGTATATATACAAAGCTGATTTTCCTATCAAGTGTGGTATGAGCAGCTGGACCTTACACTTATCTCAGGGACATCGGTTATCACCTGTTATCAAAATTACATTACTTACCTCGTATACAATTATAGACCTATTACAAATATCATCTTAACGCCACCGTCCCCTCCCACAGATATAGTTAGTAGAGGCACATATAGAAATCGCTTTGTCTTTTTGTCCGTCCCTCCGTCCGTTCAGTTCGATATCTCGTTAATATTTGTTCTCATTTGTAAACTTTGAAAATAAAATCGAAAGGTAGTTTATGAGCGTTGTTATATATCTTATCAGCTTATAGACAACCCGGTCATAATACAGATATTCATCATTTTCTGAAGAGTGATTTGAAAGTCATCCAGGAATGTACCAGGTAGTGAATTCACTTCATGGAAGAAGGTTAAAAAATGTCCTATTGTAGTAGAAGAGTAAGTAACAGTTTTCATTATCCATATTTTATTTTCCTTGAAAATTAAATGTTGCGCGTTTTAAGATAGCTTCACCACAAATATATATATATAACATTTAAATGCAACGTTAGTTATATCAATTCTAGACATTAAATTATCAAGTCCAAACAGTATTTCATTCCTCAGTGGAGTGGTTTCTGTTATAATTATCCTATGTACAAATAATTAAAAATTACTGAAAAAAATCATCTTCAGTTTCGTAACAATATCAGATTTTATGAATAATAGTGAGCTGACTCGAATGTCATTGGAGAAACAAAATTGAATTTGGACCGGGAAAGCAACGGAAATTAGGCTTTCAAACGGATTAATAAAAATGTGACCAGTAGAATACGGTTTTCATTCATATCTGATATGTAAGTCTCGGACACTTTGCTAACTGTGATAAAGATAAAATCCGGAATTGGAAATCAGACACGACAGACTCGTCTACGTCTGCCGCTTTCCTCCTTGTTTTCCCTATAGGGACAGTTTTTCCTGATAGCCATTCCTCGATAGCAACAGTCCTGCTTCCCCAACCTATGGTGTTTACATGTCGCAGTTGATTTGATACTCAAGGATTGATCCCAATATCACGGTTTTCGTGCTAAACGTTAGCTGGTAGTTTAACTCTATTACAAGGTTCCGAAAAATGAAGGTCGATGAAGCTTATACGTAAATTTCATGGTCGTTATGCTGAACTTATTGGTGCATATAATATATGAAGTCGGTATTATTCTTTTTTGTTTTGTTTTAGGACGTTCAATTATCAAGCATTTGACGTGATGAAGAATGTAGACATTTTACCAAAATATGTTATATATCTTCTAAAATAAAATGACGATACGAGTACAGCTCTTGGTGTGGGATCTTAGCGAGGCTAGGATATGTTAAGAACACGGACTGATCGGAGTTCAATATATTTACCGTTGAATATTGAATAATAAAGAAAGTTCTAGCCATGTACTATAGGGGCTTAACATGCTTCAAAAGGTAAATGATATCGATGAAAAAGACATTATGAAATATTGCGAGACGTCACGAAATCACCGACAGGCTTAGTTTAATGCATAACCGTGAATAAGAATTGATCCTTTCTACTTTCACGGTGTGAAATACAATCCACATTCGAAGGGGAGTTTTTGATTTGTCATAACATTGGAATAAGTCGATCCTCTTGTCCCTCTATTTGGCAAATAAACACATTGTCAGTCTAATAAAGATTTGCGATCACGAAAAATGATTATCGGCGATTGTTTGAAATCTTTACAAAGTCTTTTTTAGGAATTTCAACACTTCAAACTTGGCATTAAATGTAGTGCAATCATATGGATCAAG